CTATTTTTTTTTTTTTCATTTAAACCCCCCCAACCCCTTCTTCCACCCCCACTACCGTATTACTCCATCTGCTTTTTGCATACCCATTCACCTAACACATGCACTTCAAGTCGTATGAGTGAGGGTTGAAAGTGTTGAATTTTTGGGACGAAGTTTTTTCTTTCTTTTTGGGGTTTTCTTTCTTTTTGGGTCACGCTGCCTCGGTGTGAAAGGTTTTTCCATTTCTCTTCTGGCTTTACAGAACCTTTGAGGCGAAAATAACTTCGTTCCGCGCTTGGTGCTTTCAAAAGTATATTTTTTGATCCATTTACGGGTTGAAGTGGAAAAGGGTTCCCTCAACAAAGCTCACTTTGTTCCATAAATAATGATTCCACAAAGATTAGCTTATCCTAAACAAAACTTCACACTCTCCAAAAAGATCGTTTATATTCAATTTGACCCCAATCCATTGCTATCTTATCGAGGTTATAATCTAGTTCACCCCAAAGAAATCAACATATCCAGCTATAATCAAACACAAGAATGAACATACTGTCCCTGTGATATTTCAGTTCAAGGCACATAGCTTTTCCTTCTTAATCACTATAAAGGTTCAATTCATAAAGTATATTTTACAGGTCATAATTTGTTTACCCTCTATAACCCATCTTATGTGATTCTTATTACATCTTTAACCAGCTCCACGTTTTTTTCTCATAATTTAATTGACAAGAATTTCCATTCAGGTATTTTGTTTCGTCCCATCTTAACCAAAGAGCCTAAAAATACGTTCACTAAGTTTTACCTTTGCACTGTTTAGTTCCCGCCGGCTTGTTCTTCATTTACATCAATTTCACCCGTCCAAACTCCTCCAGTCGACCAACTCTGCAATTTTGGTAATTCCAAGTAATAGGAAACTCCAGTTTAATTGGAACTAAGCCTTTGAAGCTCTCGCTGCTTGAGCCCTTTAGTGAATATCTAAACGATTCCCTCATCTCTCTAATGAAGTCTCTCAGGTCTGCTTGACAGAATTTAATCACTTGATACAAAAGCCATCTTGTATGATGAAATATGATATGGGAAATAGGGTAGGGAGGGTAGGGTAATAAAAGAATGGTGGGTAGGGAAAGGGGTTGGATAAGGAATGGTAGGGTAGAGAAGGGGAGGGTAGAATTGGGTAGGCAAGGGTAGGGTAGGGTAAGGTATGGTACGGAAAGGTAGGGTAAGGTAGCTACACACTGAAGGTGGTCCCATTATGTATCTCTGATATAGAACAGAATAGATGCACACTACAGGTGTTCCCATCACGTAACTCTCACAATGAAGTGAAGTGTTGCACACTGGGTTTTCTCTCCTTATAATCGCTGTTTAGTAATGTTTCCTTCACACAGGTCATCACCTCTGTAAAGATATACGGCACTTTCAATATTTCAACCTCGGGCTACCACGACAAAACAGAGGTTAGGTGATCTGACAGACGCAGCTTGGACCTGTGGCCTTCCACACCTGACTTTACTTTTCCCTAAATATCTGAAACTCTCTCATGGCTTGTATTGGATTGACAAAGTTCCCATGAGCTATACATTCTCTAATACAGTGTTCCAGCATTGCTCTTGTGTGATGTTTACATTCTGTCGATACAGGTTCACCAAATTCCTATTATCATATCGGGTAGTGTAGCCACTCACTGTGTTCCAGCAATGTATCTCTAAAGAACAAAAAGCACAATACCGTAGCTGAAACAATACATAAATTAACCCACAGTATATTTGTGTAATGTATCTCTAATAATAATATTGTAGCCAGACTGCTGATGTTCCTACATTGTAACTTTCGTCTACAAGTATATAGCTACATAGTGCGGGTGTTCCACAATTTATCCGTGATATATGAAATAGTATAGCTCCACAAAACAATAAGAAACAATTTGCCCTTTCTCGTCGTCAGGTTCCGTGTCCTTCCCAGGGTCTACCAACCTGAGGCTCGGCGGCTGCCAAGGGTCTTGATGTCCTGAGATAGGTGCCGTACACACTACTGGGATAGGGAACGGAGGCGCAGATATGAACACTACCAAAGCCGCCGTCCTCAGGGGTTGTGGGACTAGTTTTCTCCGCCTCTGCGTTGCCTGCAGCAGATGAACACACTGTAACAGCAGTTGGACCACTTTAAGTGGGAGCGACTTGTTTTATGTCGACGAATCGCAATATAAAAATAATTATTTGACATACATTTCCAAGTTTTCCTGTTTTGATATAAAAAACATTTTTATTCTATTCTATCATAGGAGCTATAAAACGAACTGTAAAACTATATTGCTAAAAACTCTGAATAAACCCTTAAAGCAATTGTAAATATTTATCCTCTGAGTAAAACAACGATTACTACTGCAGTAAATATTGAAATCGTATGTTCTCCAGGGAAATTATAATAAAATCAATCTGATGTTAATGTATAGCTAAAAGTACACAAAATTATTTCATTACGAAAGTGTAATAATACTTCTAGTCAATATTACTGATATAAACACAGACACGCATTATATCAGAAAATATTTATTATTATCATATATCATATATATATATATATATATATATATATATATTATATATATATATTATATATATATATATATATATATATTATATATATATATATATATATATATGTCGTGCCGAATATGTAAACCTGGTCAATTAGGAAGAACTCATCTAAAATTAAGTCCTTTCTGAAAATTTCATTGAAACGTTTAAAGATATATATTTTTCATTAATGTTGATGTAAAAATTTGTAATTTTGCACCAAAAGGAACTTAGAAAACTTACCTAACCTTATTATAACTAGCGCAATTTATTTTAGCCTAACCCAACTAAATATATTTTAGATTTGTTTACAATAATTTAATACTAAACAAAAACAGTGAAATATATTTTTTTTGTTAGGTTCAGAATGATTTTGGAGAAATTATTGCATACACAAATTTTCACTTGTCCTATATGGCAAGATGAACGTTGCTATTTAAGCAAAGATCGCAAATTCTGCCTATTCGGCACGACATATTATATATATATATATATATATATATATATATATATATATTATATAATATTATATAATATTATATATGGGCACACGCCCAGCTCTGAGGAGCTGGATGAGATTTTCGCCTTATAATCGGTGATACACACGTAACAACATGTATATATATAATATATATATATATATATATATATATATATAATATATATATTATATATATATATATATATATATATATATTTATATATATATATATATTATATATATGCCACCTTTATATCAACAATGTATCTCTTAAATCTTCTGTGCCATATTATGTAATAAAATATTCCTATTGGTAAAAAAAATAGTTTAAAAGATGGGTGGTAGGGAAGTGGAATATTCAAATGGTTCGGAAGAAATCCAAATATTCTTCCTTGAAGCCTTTTTATCCACTTCTCCGAGGCTATGGGTCCCACAATTTACACCAGAGGTGGACCCAATATATATTATATATATATATATATATATATATATATATATTTATATATTATATATATATATATATATATATAAACTGCAACATTAACACCCCTCCTTCAGAGTGTAGACACTGTACTTCCCTTCTCCAGGACAAAAGTCGGGCCTGCCGGTTTCCCTGAATCCCTTCATGAATGTCACTTTGCTTACACTCCAACAGCACGTCAAGTATTAAAAATCATTTGTCTTCATTCACTCCTATCAAATACGCTCACGCATGGTTGTTGGAAGTCCAATCCCCTCGCACACAAAACCTCCTTTACCCCCTCCCTCCAACCTTTCCTAGGCCGACCCCTACCTCGCCTTCTCTCCACTACAGACTTATACACCCTCGAAGTCATTCTGTTTCGTTCCATTCTCTCTATATGTCCGAACCACCTCAACATCCCTTTCCTCAGCCCTCTGGACAACAGTTTTGGCAATCTCGCACCTCCTCCAAACTTCCATACTTCGAATTCTCAGCATTATATTCACACCACACATTGCCCTCAGAGATGACATCTCCACTGCCTCCAGTCTTCTCCTCGCTGCAACATTCATCACCCATGCTTCACACCCATATACGAGCGTTGGTAAAACTATACTCTCATACATTCCCCTCTCTGCTTCCAAGGACAAAGTTCTTTGTCTCCACAGACTCCTAAGTGCACCGCTCACCCTTTTCCCATCATCAATTCTATGATTCACCTCATCTTTCATAGACTCATCTGCTGACACGTCCACTTCCAAATATCTGAATACATTCAACTCCTCCATACTCTCTCCTCCAATCTGATATCCAGTCTTTCGTCACCTAATCTTTTCGTTATCCTCATAACCTTACTCTTCCTTATTCACTTTTAATTTTCTTCTTTTACATACCCTACCAAATTCATCCACCAACCTCTGCAACTTCTCTTCGAATCTCCCAAAAGCACAGTGTCATCAGCAAAAAAGCAACTTTGTGTTTGAAGTTTTATCTTTTAACACCACACTCTTGCAAGACCCTAGCATTCATTTCTCTTACAACCCCATCTATAAATATATTGAACAACCACGGTGACATCACATATCCTTGTCTAAGGCCTACTTTTACTGGGAAATAATCTAACTCTTTCCTACATACTCTAACCTGAGCCTCAGTATCCTCGTAAAAAACTCTTCACTGCTTTCTAGTAACCTACCTCCTACACCTATACACCTGCAACATCTGCCACATTGCCCCCCTATCCACCCTGTCATACGCCTTTTCCAAATCCATAAATGCACACAAACCTCTTTAGCCTTATCTAAATAGTTCACCTATATTTTTCACTGTAAACACCTGGTCCACACACCCCCTACCTTTCCTAAAGCCTCCTTGTTCATCTGCTATCCTACTCTCCGTCTTACTCTCGTTTCTCGTTTCTCGTCCAGACCAGAGCTTTGGTGAGATGGGTAAGGAAGAAGGATGGGTAAGGATAGAAATTTTGGAAAAGGGTGGGAGGGGGGAGAGAGGTAGGATATGAAAGGTAAGTGGCCCAACCACTTTGGTGTAATTTAAAAAGTGTACGTAAAATGATAAGATATTCTATAAGGGGTATAAGACTAACCCATCAGAGTCACATAGATATAACAGATATATAAGTACATGACTCTGAATTGGTAGTAATTATACAAGTTGCAATTGCTTTTTTTTTTTTTTTTTTTTTTTTTTTTTTTTAATTGCACAACGGATATTTATGCGACAATGAAGGCAATAATTTTCTGGCCAGTTTATAGAATTACGTGACAATCTCTTCTTACAGGTGGTGTCCAGCCATAGCAAATAGCATAATTTTTACATTAGATTGTTATATAAGATTTCTCCCTAATTGGGGGCGATGATGTTCTCAATATACATAGAAGGGTTCTGGTGGTACCCAATCTTCTTCATCAGGGAGGTTGCTCAATATCATGGGTCGAGGGTAATCAGCTTTATGTATAAAACGACAGACCCTCTGTGGGAGAGTCATTCTTTGAGTCCTGTGAGGAGGAGTATTGATGATATAATCCGTGGTATTTACCACTTGTATAGGATGTTCTCTATCTGGCATGTATAGTTCTTGCATTGTATAGAGTTGTTTCTTTTTTAGGGTGTCAAGGCGTACATTTATGGCAGTAATATCTTGTTGTATGTGTAAATCTGCCATTTTAACTCTGTCTCTGCTCCTAGGTATCGGTAATGAAGCGAAGAGCTCTATTCTGGACCCTTTGTAACCGTAGCATATTGGTCTTTGTTGTTAATGACATTGGGACACAAGGGTATTCGAGTATAGGTCGTATTAACATTTTATACAGATGTTTTTTTGACATGTTGAGGGGCTTGATTGAATCGAAAGAGGACTGCTAAGACCGGCTTTGGCTATGTTGATCTTTTTAGTTACATGAGATGTTGAGTGGAGCAGCCTGTCTATTTCATATCCCAAAATCTTGTTAGGGTTTCTAATGGCTACAGGTGTACCTCTGATGGAGATACCCCCTTTATCTTCAATTGTTGATGCAAAAATCCTATCGTGCTACAAGGACCTTGTCAGGATTAGTCGTAATTCTCCATTTCTTTTCCCAATTAGATGTTCGACGAAGTTCAATATTCATTTTTTCTATGACTCTTTCATACTTGTGTTTTCCTGTTACCGGAGTTGATGAGACGACATGAATAACATCATCTGCAAACTGTGTCACAATTGTATCATTAAACTCTGGTTGAGGAAGGTCATTCACATAAATGTTGAACAGAATTGGACTAAGACAAGAACCTTGTGGGACACCAGCTGTCGGTATAAAAGGCTCTGTCGGACTTGCCATGAAAGGTGGGAATGATTTTCTTTGAGTTAAGAAATTATTATATTACTCTGAGAAAAGTCCAGTTATGGTCTGGTAGGTCAATGAGTTGTATATAAGGCCATCAATGCCATAAGCTATCAAAGCTTTATGAACATCTCTGGTGGCAATTAAGGCAAGATTGCCCTGATGTTTTAGACTTGCTACAGTATCGAAAATAACATTTATTGCATGATTGGTACCTCTATGTGTTCGAAAGCCAAATTGTTTTTCAGTGAAAAAGTGATTAAACTCCATATAGTAGTTCAATCTGTTGGAAATGACCTTCTCAAGAACTTTTCCAGTGACTTCAAGTTAAGATATAGGTCTATAGTTCCCAGGTTGGTGGATGTCTTTATTGGGCTTACCAAGAAAGATCATCTTAGCAGTCTTAAAAACAACTGGAAAATGTCCTGAGGCCAAGATGGCATTAAAGATATTTACCAAAGACTGTTTACAATTTCTAGGTAGGAACTTTATTTGTTTCATTGTTATTCCAGAGAGGCCAGGGGCTCTATTTCGCATTCTTCCAATAACCTGACTTATCTCTAGTAATGTAATAGGTCTAGTAAGCGGGTGGGTATCTTCAAGAGTTGAAGTATCGATGGTAGGTAGTGGTTGTAGATCATCCATTGGCGACTGTTATTGTGGGAGAGAATTTTCTCCCATACATCACCCATCAAATTAGCCTGGTCCTGTGGATCGTCAAGTTTAATTTCAACATCTTCATCATCCTCATCAGTGAAGGTATGAACTAGGTAGTTAGGA